CATGATGGTTCCAACAATATATTTCCATGATAGTTTAATGGGATTTATTGTTGGTTCAGCAGGAATAAATCATCAAAACAATCCATTTTTTATGTTGGTCCATCGAAAATTAGTCCGAATTCCTATATTGGAGTGATGGTGGTTTATGATCGTTCCAACATTTGATTTCTACGAAACTATGATTCAAATTTATGAACAAACCATCAAAACAAGTTTTGCTATTCTTAGGTTGGACCATCATAAATCAATCCGAATTCCTACATTGGGAATATGGTTGCTTATGCTGATTACCATAAAAAAATATAATGGTTCATGATGGCATTATTGATGGTTATCATCAAGATTATGTTGGTCCATTCATGGAAAACCATCAATAATTTTGACTTGGGTGTTGAAAAAATCCAAATAGGCTCAGAAATAGCCTGATTAGTCAAGTTGAATGGCTAAAACACGATATTGAGGTAAATGACTCTCTCTTTCATGTTCTTAAGTGCCAAGAGGTGGTCGTTCCTGTCTACTCGTGCATGAGAGAGCGTCGTTTGGGTAATTTTGTGAAGTCATCGATTGTAGCCATGATATTCCTCTTCATCGTCTACTCCATCATCGGATGCTTCGGATACCTGACATTCGGAGCCAATGTGACACACAATGTCATGAAGATGTACAACGCAGACGATCCTTTCGTGATGGTGGGCGTCTTTGCACTCATCATCAAAATGGTTGCCACCTATCCCATACTCGCCACTTGCGGAAGGTAATCTTCTTCTTACATCTAAGTTCCACATAACAGGATAGCCTGGCTGATAGGGCACTGGACCCATGCCCAAGAGGTCGTGGGTTCGATCCCTGCCGGTCAAAGACTCCTTGTGTAGTAAATGGTGACTGATGCACGTTAAATCTGTCGAGTTCCCATAACAAATCATAGCTCTGGGGGTACTGATCTAGGAGTTTCCTTGTCTTCTGGATTGGTTCAAAATGACAAGGCTACGGAGTTGAACATAAGTAGTCGTAAATCCAAAATTGGGTCGGCTGTTCAACGACGGATTAAAATACATCGATAAGGGAGCCGCCATGGCTCATGGGAAAGAGCGTCCGCCTTCCAATGAGGTAAACCGTGCTCGAATCTCAGAAATGGTTGGTTGATGTGATTGCGCATCCGGCTTGCACCGACCACGCTGTTGACGTGAAATATCCT